AAAATCAATAAAGCTATCCTTAACGAAGCCTTAAGCTTCATTTTGGACAACTTTCTTATTGGATGCCCACTAGATAATTCATATTGCGTTCAAGTTAAAAGGAATTTTGGCTATATTATTGCTGACATACTTGCGATGATTTGAGAATTTGAAGGTGTTTGTGCAGCTTTAAGTAAAACACAATTTACACATCCAGCAAGTTAGCTCAACTAGTTTCTTAGTTAGCCTATGTGGATTGAATGGCATTGTGCGATTGTAGTTGGATGTGTTGAAGCTGTTAGAATAAAGGTTGGTAATAAAAAATTTTATGTTGTCCATATACCATTTATAACTTTTGTTTACCTTGCTCCTATTTATTGCCAACAAACTCAACCCTTTACCTCAAAAGAAAGTATCTTGCATGAGTTTTTTTTTTTTCTTTTAGCATGCATAATGGTGTAGCATTGCAAGCATGGGGGAGCTTCCATCAATTTCATAATAGAATAATGTGGGTCAAACTTCACATATATCACAATGGAGAACTTTATTAGGATCATCAAAACCTGCACAAACATGAAGGTCTGCAATTTTATAAAACTCGTGCTTCTTATAAGATTTACATTCTATAGCAAATGCAACAATGTAAATCAGGAATTAGAGCATTGTATTCCATTTACTAGCTATCATAACTTTTAGTATATATAGAGTTATACAAAAAAATTTAGAGGAATGATTTAGATTACATTTGTAGCACATCAATGATCAGAATGTAATAGTAAAAAAAGGTATTGTATGGAAAGAGAATTTGGAGCTGAGCATTTTATAGTCTTACTTTTTGTCAAGCTTAACAAAGCTTACTTATCTCTTAACACTGTCCCTCAAGTTAATAAGGGTTCTTAAATTGTTAAATTTAATATCAGTTGAATAAATCACATGGATGATAGAGATTTAGACAAAATATTTGTGGGTTGTTATGTGATAATCAATCTCTATATATTTGGTGTGAGCATGCTAAAGCAAGTGCAGAGATATTGTCATAGTAGACTAGAATAAGAGTAGAAACTGATAGTTGAAATCCATTAAGCAGACCATGAAGCTATATGATGTCACTAGTTACAACACTTAAGGCATGATATTCAATTTTAGTGGAAGATTGTGTGACTATAGTTTGATTTTTTTTACTGAACAAGAGACTAAAGTGGAGCCAAGGAAGACACATTAGCTAGTAATTTAGTGATGATTAGTTTGATTAGTAGGACAATCTGAATCAACATAGGCTTGGAGTTCAAGAGGGGTAATAGTAATTAGTCAGCCATAATTTATTATGCCACATAAATAATCAAAAATGCATATTAGCAATTGAAAATGAAGAAGAAATGGCTTATGCATAAGTTAGCACAAATGATTGGTGGGAAAAAGTAATATTCGATGTTGTAATCATCAAATACTGAAGCGAACCAACAAGTTGATGGTATAATTTATGTTGTGAGAATAGTTTAAAAGTTATAGTAAGAGTTGGTAGTTGTTTACTAGTAATTAGTAAGACTTTGGAATGATTTATAATCCAACATTCCATTTTTATTAACCAGTTCAGTGATATATCGAGATTTGAAAGAGATGTTGGCCAATGGAGGTATATGTAACTTGAATGCCAAGAAAGTAAGAAACAAGGCCAAGATTCTGAAAGGAAACTTGGAGTGCATATTTTGTAATAAGTTGTCAATTTTAGCAGCATCATTGCCCATGAGCAAGATATCATCAACATAAATAAGAAAATAGAAAGTAGTAGATCCTTAAGGGTAAAAGAGAAAGGAAAGATTGACCTTACTTGCAACAAAATTATTTTATAATAAGTGAGTGAAGAAGGTGGGCCACCATTGACATGGAGCTTGCTTGAGACCATAAACGGCTTTATGTAATTGACAAAAATTATTTGGAAATTGAGGATCTTGAAAGCCTGAAGGTTTTTTCATAAACACAACCTCATTAAGTTGGCAATGTAGAAAATCATTAAAAACATCCAACTGATAAATAGGCCATTTAGAAGCAATGACTACAATGAAGATAATGCCTATCATGGGGAATTTATAACAAGATTAAAGGTAGCTGTTTTATTAACGCCATACTCATGTTGAATACCTTATGCAAGAAAGTGAGCTTTAAGATGAGCAATAGTAAAATGTAAATTATAATTTATTTTGTAAATCCATTTACAATGATCAGGACTGCTAGGCACTAAAGGCCACATGCCTTGCTGCTATAATGCTTGGAATTCAGTTGACATGGCTAAATGTCAAGCAAAGTATTTATTGTCCTCAGAAAAGGAAGTAGGAGAAGTGGAAACAAGTTAATGATGGAAATTAAGAAACTATTTTGGTTTGATATGCTCAATTTTTAAATGAGTGATCATATGATGATGGGAAAGTGGTCAGGGAGGGACTTGTGAAGTAGACATGGTAGACAATGTGACAACCTTTTTCATGAAGCTTGCAATAAAAATATGCTAGTTTTGAATTAAGTAAAACATATTGGTGCACAAGTATGCTTAGCATTCAAGTAATAAAGTTAGAGTAGAGTGTCAATCCCAAGTGGAATTGAACGATCCTAGAATTACCCTAGTACTATCTACTCAAATCATTATATTTATCTTACCAAATTTAATTACAAAGAAGTTTTTAAACTATTGTAATTATTAAAAGTGAAAATTCAATAAATAAAAGTGTTATGAACCTATCATGTTGATGAATGGCATGTTTACCTAAGTTAACTCTTCTACAATATGTTGTGAATCAGATCTTATAAACTCTTAAATCTATATCAAGCCCGTAATAGTATAAAGTAAAGTTTTCACTACAATATAGTTGTTATAGATCCTTAGAATCTAGAATCATAGACATCCTATCTCTAATCATAAATAATATTCTATTTCAATTCTTCTAATTGTATCCTTATTCCTCCATTGGGGAAATAATTCACATTATATATTATATTAGAACACGACCAATGCAATAATTGAATTACTGATACATGTAAATTATGTACTATTTAATATGCTTTATTTTTAGTAAAAATGTATTTTTTTAGTTAATTTTGTAAAGAAAAAACAAAAAATGATAGAAAATACTAAGGAGTCCAAAGCACCATGGCGAAGGAAGAAACACCACCACAATACCTCCTTAAATAACATCAACGTGCCACATTTTTTGACATAGCAATGCCATGTTCTCTATTTTCAAGTGCTACAATGGAGACACATCCATTTCCATTGCATCAAAAAGTAAACTTGGTAGCCCAAAGTTCTTAGGAATTTAAATGTTCTAGCACTATAATTTCTCATGCCTTGGCACCAAATTTTTTGATTGGCCACCGTAGAGCTCAAATGTCAATTGCGTCACAGTGTTGTAGTTGTAAATTTTAAGGCCCATGTTGTTCTAGTGAAATGTTTACCTATTCATAATGCAACCATTCAACATTATCAAGCACCACGACGGAGCAAAAAAATTAGTAACGGGGCGCTAGTTCATTTTGAACGGTACTAATCTTTTAAGTGCCACAACACCAGCTTCCTTTTTTGTGTATTCCTATAAATAGATGTTATGTTTTTTTGTTGAAGAGTTCAATCACTTGTGTAAAATGCAATACTTTTTTAGGGTACTAATATTGTCCCCTCTTAGAGTAAAATATAAGGGAGGCTAGGGAAATACAAGATATAATCCACTGGAGTGTTTTGCCTATCTTTGTTAAAGTGACTCTGTAATTAAAGGAAGAAGAAGTGTAGAAGAGATACTTTGATCCTTCCCGGTGAAACCACTTTCATGTATTTTCATTCTTCTATAAATTTAATGAAAATGAGTTTACTTGTCATTTATTCTATGTCTAACTAAATCTCTTATTTTGGATTGATTATACAAGGTGCATGTTAAGTACTAATAAAAACTCTTATTCTTAAAATATTTAATGATATTTTTAATATTATTTTGTCATTTATTTAATTCTTATAGTGTCATATGTGTAATTAAAATATTGTGTGATGTGTGGCCTCAACGAAGGAATGCAAGTACAACCAAGTACATTGAAATAGAATGTTGTCATGCCTAGGCATAAGATGTTAAATATTCTAGGTTCTTAAGGAGATATTATAATTGTAGGAGGACAGCATATATCCTTTCACCTACATACTCGATAGAGATCTAGTTATACATATGCTCTGAATCATATTACCATGAAGATTCTAATTAAGAAAAATATAAAAAATTGCATTCATTAATCCAAAACATTTTTATTAAATATTTTATCTACTATTCTATTTATTCAATGATAAAAACTCCAAAAATAATATTTTTATTTCAGTAGAATCATTCATTCAATTATAGTAAATGGTTGTATTTTGTTTTAAGTAAGCATAACACTTTCTCATGGTTTTGACTATCTACTATGTCACTTTATTACTTTATTCAATACATATAATTATGTATATTAAGTGGGGTTTTATTATTTATATAAAAAAATCTAAGCATTATTTAGGGTTGATAAATTGCTTAATTCTTACATCATTGAAAAGTTCTCTCCATAGTCCCCATCAAATCTTTTGGCATTGTTACCGAGGAAGTGATTTTCTTATCATAATTATATTATCTAATTAATTACATAATTAGACATGCTTGTATCTTGCATTTTATTTTATTTATTGTATGTATTCATTGTTGTATGCTTTCTAGAGATTTAGAAAGGAACATTTATTATAATCAAGATTATTCTAAACCTATTATGAATTATGCTAACTCTGTAGTGTATAAATAATATCAGAGCATTAATAGACATACTATTCACCATTTTCTTATAAATTTGTATAATATTTAAGTATAACGGTGTCAATGATGATGCTATACTTAGACTATTTCTATTTTCTCAAAGAGATAAAGCCAATATGTGGTTTAATTTTTGCCCTAGGCTTTATAATCACATGGAATGTGTTGGCTCATCAATTTATTACTAAGTATTTCCTACCTTTAAAGACTACCAAGCTTAAAAATGATATTATGTGTTTTGCTCAATTTGTAGGAGAATGAATTTATGAGGGTTGGGTGAGATTTGAAGAAATGTTTAAGAATTGTCCCCACCATGATTTAACTGTTTGGTTTGTTATTCAAACTTTTTATAATGAACTAGTAGGATATCTTATAGAAATCATAGATATTGTAGATGGAGGATTTTTAATGTCTAAGGTATTTGAGGAAGCAAAAGAATTAATGGAGAAAATAGCTACTAATAATTTATGGGGCCTTCCGATAGAGTAAATCCTAAGAGATTAGCTAGAATTTATAAATCAGATGCTTTATCAATCTTAATTGTACAAGTTGTAGTAATTTCTAATAAGTTTACCATGATAAGAGTAAATTTTAGATTAGGATCTAATCATCTATGCAATTGGAGGATCAAGATTTAAAAAAATATATTAATGTGCAAGGGATTGAAAATATTTATTTAATTGGGAGATAAAATAATCACAACTCCAATACTTGTAATTCAAGTTAGATAAATCATCCTAATTTTAATTGGTAAAATAATATTTATAATAACAATTAATAGAATTCTAGTCCAAATAATCAAGAAGAAAATTGGAACAATTCTGAACAACCTGATATTAATCTTAGACAATTATATCCCCCAGGATTTATTCAAAATAATCATTTCAAAATAGAAAATCACCTTTAGAAGAGGTAGTGATGCACTTAGTGACTCGATTAAAAAATTAAACTGCTTCTATTAAAATTTTGAAAACTTAATTAAGTTAGCTTGCATTTTTAGTTCGTAGTAGACCTTTTGGTTCTTTGCCTAGTAATACTAAAGTTAAGAAGAAAAAAATATCATCAATAATCACTTAAAGAGTGGTAGTGATGGACCCTAGCCAAATTGATAAATCTAGGAAAGTCTAGCTAAAGACTATAAACTTAGCATTGCTTAGGAAGCCACCCATATATATGTTTAAATGAACTATGTAGATTGTCAAAAAAAGGCATCACAGCACTGATGGTAACACTGATATGCTAAGCCAAGTCATATCAATTTTAATTCAAAATTTGGCACTTCGGTGCTCGTGAAGTTATAAAAAGTGTATGTTAGATGTTTTATTTTCTATTTGTGGAAGTTCTTCTTGAATAAAGTATCATTGAGTGTTCTCTTTTCTTTTCTTGAATCTTAAAATAATGGGTGGGAAGAAATGAAGGCATTCTTCCTCAAAAAGAAATGAAAATTTTGTAATGAAGAAAGATTCATTTTCTTTTCTAAACATTCAGAGTTCTGTAATTGTTGAAAAATTTCATGATTTTAGAAATGAAGTTTATGAAGATATAATATGGAAATGAAGATGCAAGTCTGTGAGATTCTCAATCATGAATTTTCTCTTGGTTAAGATGTCCTACTTCTTGATTTGAAGAAAAAACTTTACCATGGAAAAATTTAGTCTAAATGGACTGGCCCTTTTACTATTATTTGGTTATATTCTAATGGTGCCATAAAAATTGAAGATAAACAAACTTTTCACTTCTTATAGATTGAATATTTGTTGTTGATGATGATAAGGAAGAAGAAATATCCTGAATATGCTAATTAAGTATCTTCATTTTCTTTATATTTTGTTTGAGAGGAGAAATAGAAAGAGAAAGAGTGAATGCTACCATTATTTAGAAGAATATTTTTCTCTGCTTTAGGGGAGAGTCTAGTAATGTGATGAATTGTTATGTTTTTTGTTATGTAATGATAAGAATTATGGCCATGAGAGCCACTACATTGTGATGTTAGATTGCTGCTTGAAGCACTAGTTATCCTGTATCCTGTGTTTAGTTTTATGTGTATCAAATATTTTGCACCTTTCTATCATTCATATGGAAGCATGTGTTATTACAAATGTTTCAATTATAATTATATTTACATTTGATTTAAATTTCCCTTAAGCTTGCATTGCTACATTATCTTTCATTAATATCTACACATTCTAATTATTTATTTAATTAGAGTAAAAATAATAATTAAAATTTATGCAAAATTAAGATAATAATAAAACCTTATATTATAATTTAAAAAATATTATTTTATAATTATTAGATTGGAAAATCTAAAAATTAACTAAGTTAAATCATTTAAATTATTGACTTCACTTGCATTTGTAAGTTATACATTCATACATTGACCTATGAATTGAAAGATGAATAATTAAGGTAAAAAAAATAGATATGGGTAGATTAAAATTGAAAATTATAATAACCTAAAATTAGTTATCTTATTAAATCCTTAACATCAAAATCATTAAAATCGTAAGAGATTTTAAGAAAAATTGATATTCAAAATCATTAATTATGTACTCCATAAAAATGCAAAGAAAATAGAAAATGAAAAGAGTTGTAAAAAGAAAATAAAGCAAGATGAGTACATTTAAAAATTAATATCAGTTAAAAGTTTCGAGTTTGACTGCAATCTTATAGTTAAATTTATAAATGATAAGATAGGAGAACTAGTACATATGATGGTGACCTAATAAAATTTTAATTTTTAACCATAAATATATCTATTTTTTAAGGTATATTATTCAATTAATAATTTAAAAGTCAATGATTATGTTCATAACATATAAATTTAAATATGCAATAGTAGGGGTAATTGGTTTAGATAATTATTAGGATTTTTTAAAACTAGAATTATACCTTTATTCATTTAAATTATTTATAGTTTATAATGTATTATCCTATATTTTAGTAATTTTGAATTCATAATTTTTACTTTGGTTATTTAATTAATCAAAATTGCAGATTCCTTTATTTTACTGAGAAGAAGCAAATGTTTAAGTTGGAAAGAATTTGATAAGTGAAAATTATGTATTATTTAATATATTTTATTTTCAATAAAAATGTGTTATTTTAGTTGATTTTGTATAGGAAAAATTCAAAAAGGGAAAAAAAATTTATGATCCCACAACATCACGATGTAGGAAAAAATATTGCCACAGCAGCGCACCTTTAACACCAACGAGGCACCACATTTTGGATATAGCAGTAGCATGCTATCAATTTTCAAGAATTGTGATGGTGAAACATCCAACGCTGTGTCATTACCAGAAACACTATGTTAGAAAGTTAACTTGGTGGTGCCAAGTTCTTAAGAATTTAAATGTTGTGGAACCAAAATTTCTCATGCCTTGGTACCAATTTTTCCAATCTGGCATCGCAGTGCCTGAATGTCAATAGTTCCATGGCAATGTAATTTTAACTTCCAAGGCCCACATTACTCTAGTGAAAGGTCATAATAGTTCACTAAGTAATCGTTCCACCTCATCAAGTGCCATGGCAGAGCAGAAAATTTTGTGCCAGGGCACTATTTCATTTATAGGGCACCACAACACTAATCTTTCAAGAGCCATAGTGCCAGTTACCTTTTTTGTATTTTTCTAAATAAATGTTTTATTTTATTTATAGAGGAGTTTAGTCACTCGTGTAAAAATTAGTACTTTTTCAATGTAGTTCTCACACCACCTATTAGAGTAAAATCAAAGTGAGGCTAAAGAAGTATATTTTATAATCCATTCAAGTGTTTAGCTTGTGTTAGTTGAAGGAACTCCATAAATAAAGAAAGAATAAGTGTATATGAGATAACCTTGATCCTTTTTAGTGATATCACTCTCTTATATTTTTATTCTTCTATGAATTTAATGAAAAAGAGTTTGCCTATCATTTATTCTATGTTTAGCTAAATCTCTTATTTTGGATTGATGATGCAATGAGCATGTTTTTTTTTTTTTTTTGAATGAAGATGCAAATTGCATTAAGAACTAATAAAGGAACTATTACAGGTGCTTAAGAAAAGATCAACCTATCACAGTCCTCCCTAATCAAGTCGATAAATCTTGATGGGATTTCCATGAATAAAAAATTATCCCAAAAAAAATCACCTAATAAAGCTAGGTGGGTGCAGTAATCTGCAACCTTATTACATTCTCTAGGGACAAAATAAAAAACAATGTTATTAAAAACTTCAAGGAAAGCAAAATCCATCCGGCGGGGATTCTTATTCTCTATCTTCAATTTTGTAATTCTTTGGAGCTTATTCATGATATTCACATTATCTCCTTCTATAATTATTCCTCTATTCTTACTCATCCAATCTTGTAAAATATTTTCAAATTGAAGTATGGCTTTTAGTTCTAGATAAGCCACATCCTAATGAATGAGTTTTTTTCCATAAGCACACATCATTCTTCCTTTATGATCCCTCAAAACTCTTGCCAATCTAGCTAGATTTTATTTTAAAACCAATGCATCTACATTCAACTTGAACCAACCTTTAGGTGGGGGACACCAAACTTTAGACAACATTTGCTGATTGGAGTCCCAGTTCTTTTCAGTTGGGATTGAATGTGGGGAACAAAAACTTGATAGAATTTTTGCTGTTGTAAAAGATTTAGATGGTGTCGTCTTCCCATGTTTTACCATATTATGCACTTTCTAGTTATGGTAAACAGCAACTGCATATATTTTAGCTAAGACAGATTTTTGTTTATTTGAAATCTATAGTTCAGCAACACATTGAGCTTTGTTTTAGAACATTGATACATTGATTCCTCACTTCCTTATTGTAATCAATAATTCCTGTAATTTCACACAGCCTGTTAAAACGTGTTCTGTATCTTCCGCCATTTGACAGACTCTAGGACATTCGTTTCTGCAATATAGTTTTCTATGATTAAGTCATACATTGGTTGGTAGTGCATCATTCAACAATCTCCACCAAAACAGATATTCTCTTTGAGATATCTGTAGTTTCTTGATCCACTTTACATTATTCAAATCTCCTTCATGATTTCTATAGTTTGCTTCATAAGACAGTGAACAAATCAATCTTCCTATTTCAGTGCTCTTTAATTCAATGCTATCTTCTCTTGATTCATTACCTATTGGTGTTTGAAGGACCAGCTATCCCATTTCCTCAGAGAAGTAATTCTCCACTTTCACCTTATCCCACAATCCATTAACATTTACTAAAAAAGAAACCTTTCTTCCACATAGCACATTTGCTTTAGATGTGGACGACCAATTCTCCAAATTCATGTCCAGTAACCAAGTATCCTTTAATATATTA